TTCCGTGGTTAGAGCGTTGGCCTCAGGACCATGAGTCGAGGGTTTGATTCCAGTCAAGGGCACGTGCCTCGGTTGCGGTTCATCCTCAGCCCTGGTTGGGGTCGTGTGGGAGGCAGTCAGGCGATGTGTCTCTCTCACGTTAATGTTTCTCTCTCCCTCCCTCTCTCTCTCTCCTTCCTGCTCTATGTGAAGACAAACAGGAAAAAAAAAGTCCTCAGGGGAGGATTGTAAAAAAAGAACTTATCTTCTCTGGCCAAACAAGGAATACAGATATTTTCATCCTGAAGCCACACTTTTAGCTGTAGCATTTTCCGTGTGTTTCAGGGCCCCACCGCCACGGCAGAGATGCCCATCACGTGCTGGGGGACCTTAGGGTTCCTTGTCATTGCTTCCCACTTTGTGGCTGAAACCCGGCTCCCACAATAGCCAGCATGCGTCTTGAACCAAAGGAAAACCAAGCCATGCGGGCTTCTCTCTGGGTCCCAGTGAATAATTTAACACACCGAGAACATGTAGTGTACGTCCGAAGGTTGTATTTCCAATGGAGTCGCTGAGCTTTTCATTCCAGAAGGAGCAACACAAACAGAGAAACACACATACAAACAAAGGCCCGGACGCTCAGCTCCGTGTCAGTGTTCCGCTGAGAAAGAGCGAGGGCAGCACCACGGCGGGGCTGGGGGTGTCTGCCTCCACCTCTGAGACAAGCCTCGGTGGGCAGAGCTGGAGAGAAGCACTCGTAGGAAAAGGACAGACAGTGATGCCCAGAGCAAACACAACCCAGAAGTCGGAAGCCGCGCACGAACCCCAGGCACCGTGGGGGGCCCAGACTCTCAGTTCCTCCTCCCGCTCTGTGCCTACCCGAGTGTGGGCTGATTCAATTACACCCGTCGCTCTCGTTCGTGCACAGCTACAGAGTTTACTCAGAGAATCCACGAGAAACCAAGCTGCCTGTCAATAAACACATTCACGAATATACCTCCAGAAAACCACTAACAGCACGAAGGCCACAGTTCTCAGGTGATAAAACATAAATTGATCGTTGGCAAGAGACCATTTAAATAAAAATCAAGAAACTCTTCACTTACCCAGTTAACAAGAAATGTGCCCGGTACCACAGAGGAGAGCTTGTGGGCCAGGGGTTCCCCACAGCACCTGAACTCGGTCTGAAAGGTCATCTTAGCAGCTGTCCTCGAAAGTGGGTTCGAAGGTCCCAGGACGCAGAACATCCAGGCAGTGGTGTCTAATGGACTGGATCTCAGATGCCCTTTTCTCTCTACCTCCTGGACAGGTCCACCTGCCCCACACACAGAGAAGGGGCTGGGTGTCTCCGAACGAACACCCCGGACGGACCTCACTGACCGTGAGTGACACCGCCGTCCATCTGTTCGCTCAGGCCAGGCATGTCCCTCTCTTCCTCGGGGACAGGCCTTCCATTTTCACTCCAGAATAACCCGTGGAAACTGCTTCTCCCCAGTGCCTCGGCCACTCCCCTACCTCGGGGCACCGTCATTGCTCTGTCATTTCCCAAATTCTATCTCCCCTGCTAGCCACCATTCCTCACGTTTGTTTTTCTGGCAGGAGAGTGGTTTTTCTAAAATTAACTCTCATCATCTTTCTTTAAAACACTTCAGAAATTCTTCACTGCCTTTAGGTTGCAGCCCACACACTGTTGTACAGCTGACAGAGTCCTCATGAATAGCCTACCTATGCCTCTCGAGCCATGATCATCCCCTCCTGTTCAGACACAGTGTTATACTATGTATTAGACATAGTACTATACAAAAGTACATTAGACACAGTGTTATACTATGTATTATATGTAGTACTACACAAAAGTACATTAGACACAGTGTTATACTATGTATTATATGTAGTACTATACAAATGTACATTAGACACAGTGTTATACTATGTATTAGACGTAGTATTACACAAAAGTACATTAGACATAGTGTTATGCTATTGTGGTTCCCTGGACGAAGCACATGTCTTTCTGCCTTTGCTCACTGTCTCCTCCGCTTAGGGCACCCTCCCATCCCCCTTCCCTTCCCCTGACTAACCAGGACTATCCAACAGACCTCCGTGGAGGGACCACTTCCTCCAGGAAGCGTTCCTGGCCTGACCTCCACATCTGTGTTGACGACTCGCCTCTATATCCCCAATGTTCCCACCTCCCCAGTCGAAACCACACTTTTCTCTCCTCCTCCCCAGCCTCCTTCTCCATCTCCAGACAACGGGCTCCTCAGTGACAGCACTCGTGAGTGATCTGAGGAGCCCCGCCACCTAGCCCCCTGATGGACTGTGACAGTTACTCAGGACACCGTGCAGCCTGAGCGCCAGGAAGAAAAAGCGCCCTGGACGACTCCCGGGGATCACGTTCATCTGATGGGCAGAACCCACCCGAGAGCCTGGGAGACGACCAAGGGAGGACAGGACAGGCAGCGAGAGAGCGCAGGGAGTGGCAGAGCCCCTGCGCGCTGGAGGGAGCGGAGACGAGGCGGGGCTGCCCGGCGTCAGTTCCAGGAGTGGGGGGGGGGGGGGCTCGGTGCAGGCTGTGAGTGGCAGGTGAGTTAGAACCCGAGGCAGCCAGGCACGCGGGAAAATCAAACGCCGTGTTGAAGCCAACGTGGTGGTGGAGGGGTGTCAAGCGTGAAGAGGAAATGTTTGCAGGCACATGTGTGTGCATGTGTGTGCCCATCGCTCTGTCCAGGTCAGAGCAAACGATTACTGAATGACGGAGAAATAATAAGTGATGGTGTTCAGACAGGACATTTACCTGGTCCAAATAAAAAGAGCACATTTTATCAGAACATAAACTTTAAAAAAAGAACCTATTTTTATGTTTCGCATAAATGAACGCCTCCTCCGCTGTCCGAGATGACTATTTTCTGCGTCTACATCAGTTTCACAGTCACCGGGCCTCTCTCCACGGCCACCACACCCCTCTCTTGCAGAATGTCTCAGACCCTGGGGTTCCCGTGACCCCACCCGCTTTCCATCCAGTCAGACCCAGAGTCACGGGGGACCCAGAACACAGCAGCAAAGGGACCTTTTGAGAAAATAATGGGCATCTCAGTTATAGAAACGTCTAACCCGTGAGAAGAAACGGAGCACGTGGACAAATAGGGCCATGTTTTTCTTCACAGATAGTTCACTCTTTTAAGTCCCTCTTAGCTACAAAGTTCTGTGAGGTTTCCATCATATTCACTGACCTACAACAGCTGAGAGAACACACTGAGGAAAACAGGCTTAAAGCATCAAATTACCTTCCACGAGACACGCTTCGTATGCAATTAACAATGTATTCAGTATCAATAAGCTCTACTGTTAGAAACATTCGCCCACAAACATTAATCATTCATTCCAAATCCAATTTCTACATGGCTCCTTTTCACACGCAACTCTCCAAGGCGACACTACATGGTATCTCGAAAATATTAATTCACTTCTTTGAGAGCAGATTACATTCTTAGAGAAAATATCTGTGCCATAAATATACACACATTACAAGCCAAGTGAAACTTTTATGGAAAAAAAAAAAAAAAGACAATTTTCTTCACCAGCTACGTAAATCAAAGCATCATGCTGTATGTCGTAAACTTACACAGCGATGCATGTCAATGATTTCTCAACAAAACGGGCAGAAAAGAAAACAATTTTCTTAAGGAAGATTGCATTTCTGGCCAAGCGCCTGATCTCATGCCTTTCAGAGAAATGCACAAGGTCCTTCACGTAACCAAATTACAAATAACGTTTCAGTAGAAGTCGAAACTTAGCAAATGCATATGTAGAAAAACACATGTGAGTTTTTTTCTTAACCTTTTCCACCCAGCCCCGCCCCCGCCAGCTGTCAGCCTGTTCTCTACCCACAAGTCTGTTCCTGTTAAGTAAAACACGTACAGTTGAGGCACAGTGCCCGCAGGGAACTCGGGGGCCTGGCGTGATGGTCCCTGCATTACAGGTGTGCAGCGGCAGTGCCCGCTGGCCACCGTGACAACCTGAGCACCCCCACACATGTGCACGTGCCCCCGCCCCCGGGGGGGAACAGTGCCCCCTTGTTTAGACAAGCAACTTGAGCCCAGCCAAGGAAACGCGCACAGTTGCATCGCTCGAGGACCACGGGGCCAGGTCTCAAAGCCCAGGCTCCAGGAAGCCGGAGCCCCCCAGGGGATGGAGAGGACGTGGGAGAGGGACAGGCTCTGACCTCTGTCTAACGGCGACCCTAGTCTTCCCGCCTCGGACCGTCCGTCCATAGCTTTCTAAGCTGAGATCCAGTCGTCTTGGTACCCGCTTGCCAGTTCTCGTCCACTTAGCCCCACCCCACACTATCTCTACCGGGTCGGTGTTTGTCACCTCTACTGAATCCGGGGTCCTTGTGTCAGCGCCAATCCGGGAACTGCAGTGCGGCAGCCCTGAAGGCAGGCCTCCCTGTCACCTTCCCTCTGTCCCCTCGCCCCACTCGGTCCTGCCCATACCTGCACTGCCCCGTCTGCAGGGCGCCTTCTAGTCCCCCAAAGGAACCTGCGCCCGCAGCTGGAGTTTCCCCGCCCTCCACCTGTGCCAGCCTTGCCTGTGGGTGTAGCCCATGCAGCTGCAGCGCCGGTGAGCGGACCAGCGCCAGAGAGGACCCGGGCTCTGCTCCAGACGGGGACCAAGTCCGGGGGTCTCCGCTCAGGTGGCATTGTGCGCGTTTCCGGCGCACGGTTCATCTCTCCCCCTTGTCATCTGAGTCTAAGAGCCTTTGTCATGATTCAATATGGAACCACAGAAAATGCTTTTCCAGCATTACTGTATCTTTAAATGTCATCATATGAAAAGTACTTAGAGCTTAAAAGTCTTTACTTCATTGTCGCTCATTTCATTTTAATTGTTACTTGACTGAGTGATGAAAGGTGAAGACCTGGGGCCACGCGTCGGGAGGTACCCCCCCCCCCACCGGGACGTGTGAAAGCCGGGTTCGGGACGAAGCCGGTGACAGAGGGAAGACGCGGGGGGCTCACCCGGATGTAGGCGTCCTGGTGCTGCTTGGCGAAGTACAGCATGTTGTCCAAGGCCAACATCCCGGGAGGGGTCTGGGTGAAGTCCAAGGCGGGGTTGACGTGATTCTGGGATGGAAACAAAATATTCAATCAGGTTCACGCCTCAGCCGACTTCGCCAGCCACCGAAGGTCTGGCTTCCCACATCACGGCCAAGTACCCCGCGGCAAACGCCAAGTAATCAAGTAGGGAGACCTCTTCTGTCTCCACAGAAACCTGCTGGGGTGGCGTGGGGGCTTCCTGCAGGTGCAGCTGGGCCACCCTTTACGTGTGGGTTAGGACACCGAAGGTCAAAGTACAGGACTATTCTTAGACGTATCACCACGGGAAAAAAGAAGATGACATAGAAACTGTATTTCTGGCGGCGGTGCTGTCGCGCATCCAACAGCATTTGGGGACAGAGACCTGGGATGAAGTCACCCCTCGACCATTGACCTTTCTGCTCCTTAACTTCCTCATCCTCACAAGCGAGGGTGAAGTCTGACCACCCTGTCCGTGGATTTTGCGAACTGTCCAGAGTCAGTCTGCAGACTTCTGGGCACAGACACTTGATTAAAAAGAAACAAACAAAAAAACAGCCCTGGCCAGTTTGGCTCAGCAGTTAGAACATCAGCCCACAGACCAAAGAGTCACAGGTTCAATTCCGATCAAGGGCACGTACCTTGGTTTTGGTTCGTCCCCGGACCTGGTTGGTGTCGTGTGGGAGGCAACCAGTCGATGTGTCCCTCTCACGTCGATATTTCTCTCTCTCTCCCTCCCTCCCACTCTATCTGAGATAATAGAAAAATATCCTCAGGTGAGGATTAAAAAACAAACAAATGAAAATCAGATGTCCACAGGGTTCTGACACCTGCCTACCCTCAAGGAGTGTTCTGGCCAATGGTCACCATCCACAGTGTGAGAACCAGGAAGACAAAATAAATAGTTACCAATGTGCTCAACAAAGTCGCAACAGGTTCAAGATTACCCAGTAAACACCACAAAGCTCTTGTCCAGAGCTAACAAACCATTTTCCACCATTAGTTGTCAAAAACAACCACCACTATCTATCTTGAAAATGTGTATCTAAACGGTAAATGATTTAAGAGAACTCTTTTTGTTGTTGTTAAGAGCTGAGATAGAAATGTTAAAAAGGCATTAAAAATTGTTTGTACCTCATAATTAGGTAATTTGTCTGAAACTACATATTTTTGTTTTGTTCCTAAATACTTCTTAATAAGCAGCTTGAATCTCTGAATTGCCAAGGACATTTTGGTTAACTGTAATTTTCTCTAATTCAAGTTCAGGAAGGACTTCTTGTTCACTTGCTCACGGTTCAAACAACCCACGCTGTTGTACATTATTGAAGAGAACTTATAAGCTGTCTTTTCCATGCTGATGAAGTTTTGGGGGGGAAAAAATCATGAGCTAACAAAGAACATCTAAAATTATAGGCAAGAGAAAGAGAATACCACGTGATCTCACTTATATGTGGAATCTAATGAACGAAACGAACTGACAAAATAGATCCAGAGACATGGAAGTGGGGAGCAGACGGATGGACCTGGGGGGAGATAAATCAAAGAACTGACATGCATATACGCACAACCAGGGGACACAGGCAACAGTGCGGTGAAGGTGGGGGCGGGGTGGGGTGGGAGGAGGGGGTCAATGGGGGAAAAAGAGGGGCCTCTGTGATACTTTACACAATAAAGATACTTTTTTAAACATAATAAAGAAATGAAAAAGATAAAATTATCAAGTGTGGTTCTGCCTACCCGCCACGGGTCCGTCCACAGTTTGGGGGGCACCCCATCCACTTCAAACAGCAAGTTGGGTCCGTGCACTGGCTTCAGTGTTTTATTTAGCATTTTATCCTGACTCGTTGATTAGAATGTTGGAAGGTTTTTAAAACAGCAAAGCACCACCACTTATAATAAGAGAGATAGATCTCATAAAATAAATATGATTGTGATGAAAATGTGGTTCAGCAGACACATCAAACGCAGGGACTTCAGCCTCAACCTGATGTTTACTGGAGAAGGAGGGTCAGGTTTGTATCCAGTAGTTGGGGGGTGGGGAGGGATCAACACGTTAGAAGTAAATGATCAGAGATTCCACCTAAAAAATAACTTGCAATCAAAGACTTTCTAACATTTGTATTTCTTTAGAGGAGAATAGTGGAATTTCTCCCATTATGCCTACATTTATTATCATTAGATTCTCATGAACTCAAGTAATAGTTTAAACGTTACCTCGAGAGTATTATGCTAAGTGAAATAAGCCAATCAGAGAAAGACAAATACCACATGATCTCACTTATTTGTGGAATATAATGAACAAGGTGGGCTGATGAATGAAATAGACCCAGAGACATAGAAAGGAGTATGGTTCAGACTGACAAACCTCAGGGTAGGGGGCTGGGGGGCATGGATGAGATGAACCAAAGAACTTGTATGCATGTATGCATAACCAGTGGACACAGACAACAATGCTGGTGAGGTAGGGGGGTTGATGGGAAGGAGGGTGTCTAGGGGAAAAAAGGAGAAACATCTGTAACAAAAATAAATGAGTAAAAATTGGGGAAAATAAAAGTTAATATTTGCTTAGTACTTTCATGCCATCATCTCCTCTAGCAAACGGGCAGTGGGCTCCACTGTCCCCAGTGGGTTCGTGAGGAAACTCCGACATCACCACCAGTCTGTGAGCCAAATGCTTCTGCTTGAGCACGGCCAGCATTTAGAGGCGACACGGCCGGAGACAGTTTATCCACAGGCTAATCAGTGTCAGATGCTACCCAGCGTAGTCCAGCCAACAGAGGGGGCCACGTGGGAGAGGGGAAAACATGACATTTATTTCAGACCTATTTCTAGTGCTGGTCCAGGAGCCTATTCCAAAAATAAATACACAGAAAAAAAAAAAATCAAATGACAGAAATTAACTGCTCTGAATCTAATTGGAACAACCCCCAAAGCTCTATGCTAGTGCAGCTGCACAGGGGGAAAGTCCCAGGGCTCAGGAGTCATTAGTCTTGTTCGAATTTGCTTCCAGAGCCCCCTGGAAGACTCCTTCTATCAATCACACCCCCTTTAGACACACAGTGGGACCACCCAATAAGACACCACTGATTTCCAAAGGTCTTCCAGTTGAGAAACAATGTAATTTATTTTTAGGGTTCTTTTAAAGAAACATATAGCTATTTAGCAAATAGCCTCAATAAAAGAATGCCTGTGTTGTGCTAGGAATTCTGCGGAGGACCCTGCACGCACTAACTCCTGATCCTCATGAAAGTTCGACAAAGTGGGTCTCTTAGTATTCTCCTCTGACAGAGAAGAAAGCTGAAGCATGGTGTCTGGGGAGCTTGGCCAAAGTTTAGAGCCACAAGCTGACAATCCCGTTTACAATTGCATCAAAGCAATAAAATACCTGGGAATAAATTTAACCAAAGAGGTAAAAGACCTGTACTTGGAAAATTATAAGCCACTGTAGAAAGAAACTGAAGAAGATACAAACAAGTGGAAGCATATACTGTGCTCATGGATAGGAAGAATTAACATCGTTAAAATGCCCATACCACCCAAAGCAATCTATAGATCCAACGCAATTGCTATCAAGATCTAAATGGTATATTTCACAGAACTTAAACAAATATTCCAAAAACTTAACATGGAACCAAAAAAGACCCTGAATGGCCACAGTGATCTTGAGAAAGAAGAACAAAGTTGGAGAAATCATACTACCTGATATCAAACTATACTACAAAGCCATAGTGATCAAAACAGCATGGGACTGGCATAAAAACAGACATATAGATCAATGGAACAGAATAGAGAGCCCAAAAATAAACCCATGCCTACATGGTCAATTAATATTCAGAGTATAGACTCTTAACCAGGATTTCAATGTCGAGTGGTTGAAATCCACAAAGATGTCCAATGCAGAGATCCTCGATTGTGGTCCTTGGTCCACATTGTTCACTCGGGAAAAGTGGGTCTGTGATCCATCCTCTTAAACAAAAGCTGTAATTTCTCCATCCCTCCCAGACATAGCAGACCTAAGTCTCTGATGTTCAGCAAGCCATTCCTATCATCTCTGACAAACAGGCTAAACAAAAGCTAGTTAGAAAACTGCCTTTGCTTCTCTGGGACTGGCCCTAAATTACAAAGTATCACTGCACTGCAGATGAAAAACAAATTATTTTGTAGTGATGGGTGAACCCTGTTCTTCTTCTTCTTCTTCTTCTTCTTCTTCTTCTTCTTCTTCTTCTTCTTCTTCTTCTTCTTCTTCTTCTTCCTCCTCCTCCTCCTCCCTCCCTCCCTCCCTCCCTCCCTCCCTCCCTCCCTCTCCCTCCCTTCCCTCCTCCTCCTCCTCCTCCTCCTCCTCCTCCTCCTCCTCCTCCTTCTTTCTCTTTTTTAACTCCAGGTACCATTCTCCTAGCTCCTCTCTCCCTGGAATTATTGTTTCCTTTTTCTCTTTTGGTTTTAATAGCCAGTGGAGTAATTTTACCACTTTGGGTTTTGATTACAGGAAAACAAAAAGAATTATATGCTGAAAGATTGGGAAGCTTCCCATACTGTGACAAAAATACTCTGAGAACCCGATAAGGCCAACAGTTCCCCCTCCTTCTTTATTTGTGAGACGTTCTGGATACAGATTTTTTTTTTTTTCCTTGTTCTGTGATATTTTTTCCACCTGTCTTGAAATAGAAGCTGCATGAGCTTTGATGAACAGCTTGAAATTTTCCCTTGTTTTACGGCAAAGCCCGTGTACCTCTCTGTGGATCCCTCTGAAATGCCATTTGTTAGCTGCCACAGCAATGTTCCTCTGCGGATCACATCAGACAGCCCTCAGCCCCAACAGAAAGGGGGGGGGGGCTCCCTTTCCAAAGCACCAGGGTTTTTCACTTTGGGGAAATGACACCAACTGCTAAAGATGGCACACTTTATTTTTTTATAGTGAGCACCCTAGTCCGGGTGTCGGGTTCTGGAGATCTGTTCCTCCTTGATTACCCCACATGCCAGTTTTTTAGCTGAATTAATTCAATGACACATCCAAGGGAAGGTTCAAGGTCTAAGACAGAGGATCATTC